TAAATAAAATGATATTTTTCAATGGAAATCAAAGTTTTGATTGAAAATGCACTGGCGCAAGGAAAAACATGGATTGCTGATTTTATTTTGATTCAAGATTATCACAAATAAAAGTAAAGATAACGCACAAACGCACGGATATGTTGACATATAACCCAAATTTTGATTTTGGGGCAGTTTACACCAATACGGGACTATGTGCAAGAATTTGATGACATCCATTACCTAAATTGTGCTGCACTGCATGGATAGGATTCTCCAATGGTCATCAAAGTAGCATCTTCAAAAAAGTAGCACGACCTTCCATCTAAATATTGAACAGGTTTTTTTTCCAAAAATATTTTTGTTCTTAAAAAAAATCATTTAATTACCCTGTGATAAAGCTACTCCTTCTCTAGGGGTCGCAGCACCTAGATAATTTTAATGAATGCTCTAAAAATTCTACATGAATTCAATTATATTAAAGTATTTAGCCTATATATATAATATATAAAGCCTATATATTTACGTATTTATCCTATATATTATATAAATATATAAAGCCTTTTCTGCACTGTTTTCGACGGATTTTGAATTAATTTTGAATTTTTAAAATTGTAACTATATTATAACCTTAAGATTGTTGCACGAACATTTTTAGAGATTTATGAAACATAAACATGAACATGAACATGAACATGAATATAAAACATGAACATGAACATGAACACATTAACATTGTGCGGTGTAAAGTTGGAAACAGAGCTATTGAACTTAATATGTTATTTAATTTATTTAATACATTATTAGTTAAACGTTTTGTTTTATAACTACATCAAATACAAATCATTATATTATATTATTATTATTATAATGTCGTCTTTCGTTTCTACAGCTTCTCGGTTCTAACTGTATATTTGATATATATTTATAATAGCTTGCGTACCCAGCGTTGCCAGGGATCCTAACTTTTCTATTAAAGCCTACTTACTCAACTTGAGATTTTAAAACCAAGCTATAAATATTCCCTCGGGTTGGTTCTACCGACGTCATCAATCAAAACTTTATGAATTCCCTCACCCCTGAGCTCTCCACACAGAAGATGTTAAACCCCTGAAGTTGAGGGGGGGGGGGAATGCGACTGATATGTGTATCACTGAAACCAGTTTTCATTTGTAAACTTTACCTTAGATTTATACTGTACACGCCATTTCTAGTCAGTTATACTTGATATTTTGATATAGAGAGATATCTTTGTGATCTATTTATGTTACATTAAGGTACTAAATAGGCCTACTATGTCCTTTTACTTGATAAATAAGTAATTGTATCCTTGGATTGTTTAAATTAAACTGAGTTTTACTATGTTGAAGATTCTCGCAGTTTTTTATTTATCATGAGCTTTAAATAATTTAATACTTGTAACAAATTTTGTATATTTACTCCATTTAATGCATATTGTATTTCTATAGTTATAAATAAAAACTAATTCGAGCAATCTATTACAGATCGAACCCGTCTTTTTGCTAACCAGAGCTCTGTTACTATCAAGGAGAGGTTCTAAAAGAAGTAGAGTAAAAGAAGTCTAAGGCTTAGTGTTGGTTCCAATCAAACCCCAAAACAGATTTTGACTAGGTTAATACTTAAGGATATTTAACGGGACCATATTTGGTCGCGAAACAGTTATAAATTTAAGTGACCCTTCATCAAAAGACGAAAATGCACGATTCTCAGTGGTTCCCTTGACACCTTAATCTAATAACAAATGTTGTAGATATCATCGATTTTCTGATTTATTTTAAAACAAGAAAGTAATTTTTTCAGAGAAATCACAAGTAAAAAGACAAAAATGTACCATTGTGAATCGGAAATGGAGGATCACTTGGAATGATGTGTACAGTCCCTTTTTAAGTTTATAGTGGGCCAACCAATTAAAACAACCTACTCTGGTTAGGCGGGTCCAAACTACATAGTAAATTGTGATTTTTTTATTTGTATTATCTCGTGCTTTGTAGTTGAATAAAAATATGAAATATGAAGTAATACCTGAAATCTGAAATAAGGGCACAATGCAGAATAATATTCGACAAACAACCTTGCTCTCCATTTCTGCAATACTTCTCATGTGAAACAAATTATTAAATTTAATTAAAATTAGTTTCTGATATAATCAATGTACGGAGTGTTTGATATTTATTGATTTGCATTATAATATGCTAATAATTATACAATAACAATAACAATAATTATAAGGGTGCTTGATTGCAAAACAGGTAAAATAGCTTTAATACCAATAGCTTTGATTGTTTAAGCAGTACATTTTCTAGTTACATCCTTCTTTGTAAATGGAATTTCGTGGATTGCCCTTTTTCAATATGCGTATTTTCAAATATAATAAATTTTGAATATTTTTCAGGCACAATTTTTCACTTTTAACAATCCAAAACCTTCCTTAGGGTCAATTTTATCCCAATCAGTTTAGCCGTTTTGACGTTTTTATTTTTATTTAAGTTTTTATTTCTTTTTTCAAATAAATTACAAGTTTACAGAGAAGCAGTTAATTGACAGCTTCTCTTTTTTGAAAACTATTCATTAAGACGTCAAAAAAAGATTTTAAAGAATATGCACCTTTGTTTTGTCCATTCTAGGTGGCACCCCGAGCTCAATTATAACTAAAAGATGTATTTTAATCATTTTAGAAAAATACTAAATTTTACCTTTTTCTTTTAAACTATTGTTAATTAAGGCACTTTATATTCACGTGCATTTGGTCAACTACACGGACTAATTTAAATTATTCATTAAGGTACGCAAAATTTCAGCATCCAATTAAGTTTTAAAAGAGTTCAAATTTTACATTGTTCTAAAATGCATTTCTTATTTTTTTATGCTATATTTTAACTCAAGGGACTTGTAGAAGATGAGAAAACATGGTTTAAAATCATTATAGCATTGGGAAATCAAAATTTGTGTATTATTTTGTTCTTACATCGATATAACTAGAAATCCGGGAAATGGTTTATTTAGAAAGCGAGATATTAAATCAACTTTATTTTCTTAAAAATAAAATAAAATAGGAAATTAATATTTTAGAAATAATTTAGCAGTTAATTTCGTGTTCATAAGATAATTTTTATTTTCAGTGATTTTTTTAAAGTGAGTTTTGTTCTGAATGTTCAAAAATGGAAAACCTGACATTGTCTTGAAAACGGTCAAGGGTTTTTTTTTATAAAAAGAACTCCTTTTATAATTTTGGTTCCGGAAAATAGTTTTAAATTAGGAATTGTTGTCCTCTTCATGCTTAGTAAAATATATATATCGACTAGCTTTTACTCTCCATATGGGCACTCATTGTTAGAAATGGGCCAACTGTTAGTTTTGGAACTAATATCACTTGAAAAGGAGTTTCGGCGACATAAAGCTAATTTCAATAAATTATCATGTTTTAGTGATTTTGTCTTAAAATTAAGGTAATGCACACTTTTTAAACTGTGAAATTCTGACATGTTTTATTTCACGCAGAGACCATGTGACGTTCCAGGTCTATGCCCAAATTTGCTCAGCTATTTAAATTTTCAACGCATTTTTAATACAAAACAGTCTGTTCACCGAAGAAAAGAGGTAAAGAGGAAAACAAATTTATTTCTAATTTTTAATAAATTAATAAATAAGTTAGAAAGATAAGATAAACAAAATTCTTTCTTATCCAAATGCTTCGCCGGACTGAAGACCAATTCTTTTTCAACGATAGCCGTCACTTCCGTATCCGCCATAGTCGCCTCCTCCTCCATACCCACTGTCTTCATAACCTCCACTGCCATATCCACCTCCACCATAGCCTCCACCTCCATAGCCTCCACCTCCGTGACCTCCACTGTCAAAGCCTCCACCACCATGACCACCGCCCCCGTAACCACCTCCCCCAAATCCTCCGTCGTCATGCCCTCCACCTCCATACCCTTCGCCTCCATGGCCTCCACCACCATATCCTCCTCCATAACCACCTCCTCCAAAGCCTCCTCCATGACCACCTCCTCCAAAGCCTCCATCGTGTCCTCCCTCTCCGTAGCCTCCACCACCATGTCCTCCGCCATAACCACCGCTGTATGTTTCAACTTCTTCATATTCATCTTCAGACCTCACAAATCCTCCTAAGGCCAACAAAGCCAATCCAAGCCTGCTTAAAAAATAGTTAAATATAAACTAATAAAAAACAATAATTTGATAATATTAAAAAATAAGAACTTTTTTCTTTTTTTGTTTCTACCAATTACCAAAAGTTCTTTTTTTTTACGCAAACCCATATTTGCGAATAAAACATCAATTACTTAAAAACCAAATGTAACATTTGATAAACTTAAAGATTATTTAATACGTTGATATTAATATTAAAAGTTTGAAAATATTTAATTGCGTCATGAAACTAATAATTCAAAGAAAAATTTAAAGTTTAACAAATTTGCTTTACATATTTCAACTGTTTCCTTTTAAGATGCATAATATTTATTGTTGTTGTTGTGCAGTAGATCAATACCAGCTCACTATGCTGTTGTTGTGCAGTAGATCAATACCAGCTCACTGTGCTGTTGTTGTTCAGTAGATCAATACCAGCTCTCTGTACTGTTGTTGAGCTATTGATCTATGTCAGCTCACTGTGAGCTTTTGGCCCAATCAGAACCTTATATATAGTTCAACTTTACACCTTAATCATTCAAGTCTTTACAGATAGGATACCATACACAGTGGTTAACTAAAAGGGGGGGGGGTATTTTTAATTTTAACTATTCCCCCTTATATTGTAATTTTATGCAAAGTACTACCCCCCCCCTACCCTTCCCTCTGATATTTTTATCTCACGCCCCTGACTTAGTGACAGCAAAGATAGAAATGATTTTGTGAATTATCCAACTGAACAGTTGAACCAGCAAATTCATCTGATATAATGCAAGTAAGTTTGAATTTTAGAGAGAAAAAAACACAGTGACCAACTGCTGGGATAGGGTTAAATTAACGGTCCAAGTTAATTGATCACTGAATTAATTTAGGTAATTTCCTAGAGATCGATTTTTGGACCCCCCCCGCCTCACCTATCAATTTTGTACATGTATCTCATATTTATCTCATTTACAATTCTAACTCTCTTTGAAGAGCTATTGAGAGGCAAATTAAAAAAAAAAAATAGTTTTTTCTTGCCAGTATTTTCACATGAACTTTGCCTTTTCTTATCTTCATATTTTTGTTACATTTAATTCTTAATTAATTTGTTTTTTTCTCTTGTCGCTTGCGCAACTATCTAAAAATGCCGCACACCACTCACAATTTTCGAAATCCGTTTTGTTACATTTAATTCGAAAAGAGTCTAACCTAGTCTTATAAAAAGATGAGGCCTGTCCTATTCACAAACATTTAATTTTCTGATGTCGTTATTCTTATAGTTCATGTTGGTTATTAATCAGAAATATGTTCATGTTGTTAAACAATCAGAAATATGACCATGTTGTTAAACAATCAGAAATATGACATGTTCATGTTGTTAAACAATCAGAAATATGTTCATGTTGGTTATTAATCAGAAATATGTTCATGTTGTTAAACAATCAGAAATCTGTTCATGTTTTTATCAATCAGAAATATGTTCATGTTGTTAATCAATCAGAAATCTGTTCATATTGTTAATCAATCAGAAATATGTTCATGTTGTTAATCAATCAGAAACATGTTCATTTTGTTAAACAATCAGAAATATGTTCATGTTGTTAAACAAAGAAATATGTTCATGTTGTTAAACAATCAGAAATATGACCATGTTGTTAATCAATCAGAAATATGTTCATGTTGTTAAACAATCAGAAATATGTTCATGTTGTTAAACAATCAGAAATACGTTCATGTTGTTAAACAATCAGAAATATGTTCATGTTGTTAATCAATCAGAAATATGTTCATGTTGTTAATCAATCAGAAATATGTTCATGTTGTTAATTAATCAGAAATATGTTCATGTGTTAAACAATCAGAAATATGTTCATGTTGTAATCAATCAAAAAATATGTTCATGTTGTTAAGCAATCAGAAATATGTTAATGTTGTTAATCAATCAAAAAATATGTTCATGTTGTTAAACAATCAGAAATATGTTCATTTTAAAAGATTTATTTCAATCATTAAAATATGTACAATTTTACTAAACATTCTAAACAAAAGACACAAAAGATTGAATATATTTACAAATAAAACTACGATTTTGTTCTCAAAATTGATTAATTATCAGAAAACTTTTTCATGAATTGAACATGGAATCTCTTAATTCTGTCCAACATATCCATCAATACACTTTCCTAAATAGAGATAGAAAATTTATTACATCGACAATTAAGCGCCAACATTAAGTGTACTCAAGTTAAGTTCAAGTGACCCGACATGCAAAGATGGCAATACCCGGGATTCACGTCGGTATCATTGAAACCTTAATCTGGTCAAATGGAAGCTATTGTAGTTTTATATAGATTTAAAAGTGTTTAACTCCGATAATGTCTATTTGCTTTCATACAGTAGAAATGTGCAAGCCACGTGTCTAGGAAAACCACGAATATGAATAATCATGTTTAGAATTTATAAACTTTGGTATCTAATTCATGCGTAGTCCGACAAAGACTTAAAGGGTAACGTTGTTATTTTGGCATTGCCAATTGCCATCTTTGGAGGGTCACCTGAAATTACGCGTACAGTCCCTTTAATAATAACTAAAATTGTATCAAATATATCACTGTATGTTCATAAGTGGACTCTTCCAAATTTTCCAGTCAATTTTCTGCATTGACCAAAAGTTTTGACACAAACTGAAATGTCATAATAAATATATATATTTGCAACCTGGTGGTTTCAATAATTTTTCTAACGTTGAATTTATGCTCTTCCAGAATTCTTAGTTTGAAATATCAAAGGTCTACGGACTTTGCATGAGTTACGTTTGTGCGAAAACTTAAATACATTTTCCAAACCATTTTCTGTATTGACAAAATTACAAGTGCCACTTATGTTCTTAAATAAAATATTTGGCACTTTTTTATAACATTTTTGCACAAGTTCTAAAGTTTTATTTAATACAGTCAAAAAAGATGTGAGATTCTTTAAAAATTAAAAAAAAATGTTTGAACTCATTCAGCGAGGTTTTTTTCTGCGTAAATAATATAATAAATGTAAGCCAGAAACATTAAAATCGTTAAAATAGCTTAAAAGTTAAGTAAATGATAAGTAAAAAACCAGGTTTTTGGAAGAATATTTGTCAGAGTCTAAAAAAAATTACCCATCAACATGTTCTAAAAACTGAAAAATCAACCCTTCTTTTGACCTGTGTTTTTTAAATCGTTAATTAATGAACGAGTTTGATTTTAAAATTTTTTTTCTTTTATAAATGTTGCTTCTAATTTGCTACAGGGGGGGGATATTTACCCCCCTGTAGTTTTTCTTTACATTTCTCAAAAAGTATTGCCTGTTGAAATTTTCTGACTTTTCCTGAATACCCATAGCCCTTCCTTTAGGTCTAAAACCTGGATTTTATACTAACTGCCTGAGTCATCAGGCACACTGCCTTAAAGACTACTTTTTCCTGGTAACAAAATCTTTGTGTTGACCAACTTTTAGTTGTTAGATTTGGAAAATATGCCTTTTGGAAAGCCTATGACATAAGAAAACGGATTGCACAAGCTTTGCAAAGAAATTTTTGCAAACTATTTGAATACAACCCGCCCGTCAAAAGAAATTTGCACATTTTTAGTTTTTCTTAATTGCACATCAGGTTATTTAAAATTTTGCAAACTTTTTTGCAAACAGCCCCCCACCCCCAGCGTATCTTGGCTTTCAAGTATCCCAGCAGGAATAGGGTTAAAAAAATAAACCTGAGGAAGAATTGTGGTTCTAAAATGATAAGTGCCAGGTTCCTGTCCGAATCCAGATCCTAGAAGAGCTTTACAAATTATTTAATTTTTATCTTTTTAAATTTTATTTTACGGCCACAGAGTATGTACTTTTATAAATGGAGGGTCACTTGAATTAATGTGAACAGTCCCTTTAAGAAATTTAGAATATTAGGGCAACACCCATTTTTCTTCTAAATAACAACATTTTTAAATTAAGGAAAAAACTAAAAGATTGAGAACTTGGTTGATCTCTGTCGCTCAATTTCAAAATAGGAATTTTGTTAACATCAGGTTGAATAGATCTAACTGATTATATATTTGAGATTGTAACAAAAACTCAATTCCTTTAATTTGTTATGAAATTCTAACCTGGAATAACACAGACGCCTGTTTCCTCCAACAAATTGAAAGCATAAAATACATCAGGGGTTTGACCGACTTCTCTAGCAGCCTCAATAGCACGCTCGGGAAGCATGACCTAAATTAATTTTAAAAGTAAACAAATATCAGGTTTTACATTTTTGTTGTTAAAACATTAAAAACAAAATTACTTTTTGGAAAATTTCAAACTTAAATTCGATTTTCGATTCACAGAGTCGTTGCTTAAATTAAAAGGTTCAATATTGGAGAGATTGAAATTTGCAGCAGCATATTGGGTCCCCTCCACTGGGGCGGAGGCCAACGGAGGGAAATTTTTTTCTGCGGAGGTAATGCACATTTTTGATTCAATACTAATTACTCCGCTGGAGGGATGGTAATTAACACTCAGGACACTAATTGCTCCACCGGAGGGATGGTAATTAACACTCAAGACACTAATTACTCCACTGGAGGGATGGTAATTAACACTCAAGACACTAATTACTCCACTGGAGGGATGGTAATTAACACTCAGGACACTAATTACTCCACTTTTTCTTTAAAGCTAGGTTTAAAAGTGCTTCGCAATCGCACCCAATTTTTGGGAACAATTTAAGCTTTTTAATGTAAATTTTAAACTCCCATTTTTTCTTTAACATGTTAAAATTTCGCAGATTTTTCTGATAGCATATTGGATTTCCGAAAATTTCAAAAAATATATTCTTTTCTAGTAAATTATGTCAAGCCTGAAAACGGTTTATACCATTTTGACGTTTTTTGCCATTGGTAACAAACAAATAGGCAAGCTATGTAAATACATGTTAAACTCACCCTTGGAAAAGCATACATTGCTCCTTGAACTACATTGCATCTCATGCCTTCGATTCCATTGAGAATATTTGCAACCATTTCAGCCCGTTTTGCAAAACTGTTTAATGTTTTCTGAACCTCGGATGTCCAATTTGAATAACTGGGATCTTGAGGTTGTGGATGATGAACAACAAGGTCAAGACAAGCCTAAAAAGATTCCTGACAATAAAGCGTAATTTCAATTGACCCTACATGCAAGGATTACAATGCCCGGTTTACAATGGTATCCTTAAAAGCTTTGTCTGATCAAGTATGAATTAGACATCCATGTTTTAGTTTCTTTTCTTTAAACTGTTTATTTTCATTTGCGATTTCTCTACTACAGCGACTTGCGCATTCTTTGCTTATCAGAAGCAATTGAAAAAATCACAGAAATAAACACTTTTTGAGTCTGATAAACGACGGTTTTAATCAGATAAAGTTTTCAAGGGTACCGTTGTAATTAAAGCTTTGCCTTCTTTGTATGGAGGGTCACTTGTAATTACGCTTACGTCCCTTAAGTAGTTGTTTATGACACATTACTTTCAATACTAATGTAGTTTTCATGAGACTAATTTATGAGACTTTAGGAATAAAAGAAGTTCTGAAAGTTTTTGAAATTTCAGTTTCTGTTTATTGAGTTCAGTATATTTTCATATAAAAAATCATATTGTCACTAATCTCAAAAGAAATAAAAGAGGAAATATAAAACTTCTAGAATAGTAGTCATATATATCAATACAATGAAGACAACTTTCGATTTTAATTTTTTATTTCTACCAAGCTTTCAAACGGCATATATATACACATTAACATGGAAACAAAGAGAAAATGGCAGAAAACAGCCTTTTGTTTGCATGCAAAATTTGTAATTTGAAAAAATGTCATTGGAATCAATTTGAAAAATAATAGTCGTCTTTATTGTATTGATATGAACACCGACCACTATAAAACTATAACCTGTCCTAGGATAGGGGGACACAGCTTGGCTGATATTGATTTCTGTAGCATACCCATCACATCAGGATCCATGTTTATAATATCAGCATAACCTCCTCTTACACCACACTCTCCCATGTACCCCTGCAGTACAATCAGTTACATTTATAGTTACACTTTCTAAAATTACACTTCCTATAATTACAGTTCATAAGTTACACTTTATATAATTACATTTCTAATCAGTTACATTTCTTTCAAGGTTTAACCTCCTACCAAGTTACACTTCCTTACACCTATAGCAGCGCTCGGCCCCCTGACCTGTTCTAGCCGCGGTGTTCGGCCCAGATATTGTCTGAACCTAACCTAGCCCAACGTAATGTCTAACTGTAAATAGGAAGTGTATGAAATGTAACCTTATAGGAAATGTAACTTTATGGGAAATATAATTATAGCAAGTGTAATCATAGTAACTGAACCCTGTCTTCAGTGAGCACCAGAAAACTCTGGAATAGAAAGACGACCTTTAGACTCAAGTTGTGACCTATAGACATGACACTCAACAATTGGTGCAGTGTAAACAGAAAACTTAAAACTTTGAACAGGAGATCCAAGAAATCAGCTGGTAAAAAGTGATCGTAAATTTCTAATTTAAGAATTACCTTACTACAAGACATAAAGGAAACCAGTTCTAAGGAACTGTAAGGGTGTCCCATTTCCATCATAACCTATAATTAAGACGTCTAACATTACTTTTTCCGTTGAATACAAATCTTATAGATGTCGGATTAATGTTCAATTCACAACGGTACCATTAAAAGCTTTGTCTGATAAAGCTTAATTAGATATCTGTGTTTTTTTAAACTGATTAATATCAGTTATGCTTTCTCAATAAAAGTTATTTGAGAGTTGCGCATTTTTTAAAAGTTAATATAGACATTATTAGAATTAAACACTTTTCAAGCTTGAAATACTAGATAATCTTCCACATTATTGATCCTATAAAGGTTTGATGAGTAGTGCCGTTGTAGAGTTGTTTAAAGGGAGTGTTCGCGAAAAATGAAAGTGGGTATAGGATTATTGCGATAAAAAAGCACTTCTATCTTTTGCGTCTATAAGGAGAAAATTGTCAAAGACGTCTCATACCGAAGAACGCAGCGTCCACACAAATTCAGAAAGATGCAACATTCAACTCGGATCGTAAACAAATCAATTTAATTCCAAACAAATCAATCAGATATTACAAATCGATTATTTCGACGCATTCTTATATAGTGAATATTTCATAATATTTTTGATTTTTTTTAATAATTTTCGCTGGCGTTGGATTTTCGAATATTCCTGGAAAATATGAAAATGTCGCCTTCATTATCAAAAATCCTCGAAACTGGAATAAATGTTTTCAAAAGTAACTCTCAGATCATGAAAAATAAAAATACCTTTTTGAAACTGTAAAACTTTGATTCTGGTGAATAGATATTGTGCTGATAAACTTCATCAGCAAGAAGAAATAGTTTCTCCTTGTGGGCAAACTTGATTATAGATTCAATATTCTTCCTACTTAATACCTAGATACAAACTTGATTATAGATTCTATATTCTTCCTACTCAATACCTAGATACAAACTTGATTATAGATTCAATATTCTTCCTACTCAATACCTAGATACAAACTTGATAATAGATTCAATATTCTTCCTACTCAATACCTAGATACAAACTTGATTATAGATTCAATATTCTTCCTACTCAATACATAGATACAAACTTGATTATAGATTCAATATTCTTCCTACTTAATATCTAGATACAAACTTGATAATAGATTCAATATTCTTCCTACTTAATACCTAGATACAAACTTGATAATAGATTCAATATTCTTCCTACTCAATACCTAGATACAAACTTGATTATAGATTCAATATATTTAAATATTGAATATGTATCAATATACATTTAAATATTGAATCTGTATCAGTACATATTTAAATATAGAATATGTATCAGTGCATATTCAAATATAGAATATGTATCAATATATATTTAAAAATTGAATATGTATTAATATATATTTTTAAATATCGAAGATTAAATTGCTTGCAATATTGGATTGTTATTTAACAAGATCAAATATGATATCAGATCATATAATTAAACTGCTACTGTACTGTACTGTACTGTACTGTACTGTACTGTACTGTACTGTACTGTACTGTACTGTACTGTACTGTACTGTGCTGTACTTTACTGTTCTATTATCTGTACTGAAAAACTGTACTGCACCTGTCCTGTTGGGTTCCCGGGATTGATAACAACAATTGCTCGGACAGTACATCTCTTTTTTGCCTCTCTACAATTACATTAATTATATATTTATACTAAAGAACCTTTAATCTAATTTCAATTGACCCTATGTGGCTGTAGAGTGATATATAGCTATGTAGAGTGATATATAGCTAATTCACAAGTGTATTCATGTGACTTGCTGGTTTCTGGCTTACACAGAAGTATAAATAAAGAAATTTGTGAGAATTAATCCCTTCAAAGGACTGTAAAGGAAAAATGAAAGGGGTAAAGGCTGGAAGCTAATCACTTTAGCTCTCGATCGCGACCCGTGAAAGTTATATCTGATGTTCCTTTATCTCTAGAAATTGATTTACAACTTTTTCAAATTTATACGAAAATTAATATATATACAATTTTGTATAAAAGTGGTGGGTTTAGATATAGATCAAATTCACCAAGTAAGCAACCAATCTGAAAACGATGATATCCCAGAGAAAGCTAATTGTAACTTACGTTTTTATTTATAAGTCCGTATTACTTGACCAGAAATTCCACCAATGGCAGTGCAGTAAAGTGGTCACGTGATACAGGCGGAGACACGTGACCAGTATACTGCTCTGTCATTGGTGATAGTTCTGGTCACGTGATTTAAGTTTCAGATTTTTTAAAAATTTTACATATATGAACTTTCGTATAGTTTTAACACAGTTTTATGTCAATTTCTCGAGACAGGAACATAAGATAAAACTTTCAATCATGGGTCGCGATCAAGAGCTATAAAGTGATTAGCTTTCACCCTATACCCCTTTCATTTTTTCTTTACAGTCCCTTTAAGCGGCTACAAAAACTACAATATCTTCTACATTAATGATCATATGATTGTTGAAAGGGTACTTTTGTGAATCAGACATGGTCCTTTTTTGATTAGAGGCTCACACAAAATAACAAAAAATATTAGGTTTTTTTACATGATACAGGGTGTCCCACAAACACATGACAGTTGAATAGTTTAAAATGTAGTCTTCCAAAAACTGGATTAGACTTACAGAATTTTTGCAGTTTAGTTCGGTAGAAAAATCTTTTACTCCAATATATCTTAATCTGGGGTCGATTTTACTAAAATAATACTCCCATTTAATGTTTATTATTATTTTCTTTGGTATCAAACAACTTAACGAATTATGGAAGTAGACATTTTAAAATATTCAGCAACTGTCACGTTTAAAATTATTTGATTGTTCAATCAAAAATTATCAAAAACAAGAAAAAGTTCTCGAACTTTAAATTGTGATGAAAAAAAAACTTTAATTGTTAAATTTTTAAAAACATAATATTTTATAAAATGCGTATAAAAATACAATCATTAATAAAATAAGTATAAAAAATACAATGATTGATAAGATAAGTATAAAAAATACAATCATTGATAAAATAAATATGAAAAATACAATTATTGATAAAATAAGTATAAAAAATACAATCATTGATAAAGTTAGTATAAATAAAATACAATAATTAATAAAATGCGTATAAAAAATACAATCATTGATAAATTAAGTATGAAAAATACAATCATTGATAAAATAAGTATAAAAAATACAATCAGTGATAAAATAAGTATAAAAAATACGATCATTGATAAAATAAGTATAAAAAATACAATCATTGATAAAGTAAGTATAGAACATACAATCATTGATAAAATAAGTATAAAAAATACAATCATTGATAAAATAAGTATAAAAAATACAATCATTGATAAAGTAAGTATAGAACATACAATCATTGATAAAATAAGTATAAAAAATACAATCATTGATGAAATAAGTATAAAAAATACAATCATTGATAAAATAAGTATAAAAAATACGATCATTGATAAAATGATTATAAAAAATACAATCATTGATAAGATAAGTATAAAAAATACAATCATTGATAAAGTAATTATAAAAAATACAATCATTGATAAAATGCGTGTAAAAAATATTATCATTAATGAATTGTGTAAAAAAGAATGCACTTCTTTATAGTATATGTATACAAAAATACACTCATTGATAAAATCCATATAACATCGATAATATGCGGGAAAAAATACAATTATTTATAAAACGCGTATAAAAAATATTTGTAATGAAGAACATTTTTTGTGTCACCTAATTGATCTTTCTAATTCTGAACTGCTGAGAGCCCAGCCCTTAGACTCATCGAGGTAATATCCAACCTAATTAATAAGTCACTTTAAAGAAGTCAGCAGTTACTGGAACGACTTTGTGATTTTGTAGCTTATATAGTTCTGATTTTCTGCACTAGAGAAACTCCTTTAAATACGGTTTTACATTATAAATTAAAAATTTAAAAACATTTTTGTTCTTTCCAATATCATTTCAATTAAAGGATAATGCTGGAAAACATATAAGTTTTCAGTTAAATGTGCAATCTACTTTAGTTTGACGTCGGCTGTACTTCGTTGTCGTTAGTTTTACGTGGGCTGTACTTCATTGTCGTTAGTTTGACGTGGGCTTTACTTCGTTGTCGTTAGTTTGACGCGTAATATATACCTTTTCCATACCATATTCTGCTAGTGTAGCACTATACAAGGGATATTGTGGGATAGGAACCATTACACCCGGTTTCTGAAAATAATAAGTTTTTTTCAAGTTTTCTGAAAAAACAAATGCAAAATTTTACGTCGTAAAAACTTATTTCAGATACTTGATAGCTGACCACAAAAAATATTCAGAATTTAATGCATAATTTTTGACAAATTTTAATATTTCAACTATCTTACTAAATATTTAGGTTAATTACAGATTAAAGTAACTGTAAGTGTAATTTCAAGTGCCCCTCCATGCAAAGATGGTAATGCCCGAATTACAACGGTACCCGGCCTTGAAAGCTTTGTCTGATCAAGTATGAATCAATGTTTCTGTTTCTTTAAACTTTTTTTTTCATTTGAGTTTTCCCTGAGAAATTGACTCGCGTATTTCTTGTTTATTTCTATCTAGCTTTCCATGGAGATGTAACGACCTCTTCTCACTTAATCTTCATGGCTAAACCGCCTCAAACTCTAACTATCAGTCAATCCTGACTGTTGTATGGCTAAACTGTCTCAAACTCTAACTATCAGTCAATCCTGACTCTTGTATGGCTTACTTGCCTCAAACTCTAACTGCCAGTCAACCCTGACTGTTGAATGGGTAACTGCCTCTAACTCTAACTGCCAGTCAATCCTGACTGTTGTATGGCTAAACTGCCTCAAACTCTAACTATCAGTCAATCCTGACTGTTGTATGGCTAAACCGCCTCAAACTCTAACTATCAGTCAATCCTGACTGTTGTATGGCTAAACTGCCTCAAACTCTAACTGCCAGTCAATCCTGACTGTTGTATGGCTAACTGCCTCAAACTCTAACTGCCAGTCAATCCTGACTCTTGTATGGCTAAACCGCCTCAAACTCTAACTATCAGTCAATCCAGACTGTTGTATGGCTAAACCGCCTCTAACTCTAATAATCAGGCTACCCAGGCTGATTCCATCTATTCTGAACAAAAGTCTGTATTTAACTGATTTATTGATAAACATGGTTATATACGGGCCGGTATGACCGGCCAGGTTACAAAACTAAAATTAGGATTACAATACAGAGATCAGAACACAGAGGGTCACTTGAAATCATGCTTACAGTCCCTTTAATAGATTTTAAAGGCTAAAAAATAGTGAATGAAACACACAAAATAGAAAATATAACCTTTTGACAAACTATTCCTGGGTTTGTCATAAGTTTTAAAATAGCTCTGATGGCCTCGCTGGCACCTAAATTATAATTAATATACAGGGTGGCCCAAAAAATAGGGATTAGCGTTTTTAAGTCCCAGTAATCTTATAAAATGACTCTAAACAGTGCTGTTGGCTATAGTTTTTAATTCTAGAAGGACATCCTTTAAGTAATATTTTGTAGTTTGATGTTTAAGTTTAGCGTAAAACTATGTTAAAATGTTCGTTTAGCGTAAAACTATGTTAAAATGTTCGTTTAGCGTAAAACTATGTTAAAATGTTCGAAAACCTCTCTGTTTACTAATACTATGAAAACTAATTATTCTGTTTAAATCTATATTGCATGGAGAAGATAAAAATATGCCTTTAAATTGTAACAATTAATACTGAATGCTAATGTTTATATTTATTATTATTTCTTAAAGATGCCCCAATTTGATGCAACAAATTCTATAAGGTTCGCAACCATGGGGGGACCGGGATTACTGCAACCTCTCTTTAGAGGTTTCTCTTCATAGTTCTAGGTTAAATACTACCTATACACCTTGGATTTCAGAAAGCCCAGAGGAAAACTCTAAGGGAGTTCAGATAATTGTAAGCGATTTTTTTTGTTTCTTAAACAACAGTTATCGGACAGAGTTTCAATTATTCGACATAGTTTTACATCAAATGGAAGGATCGGACTACAAAAATGTACTGAAACGACCCATTTCAAAATTTAAAACTGAATTTCGGTTTACAATTTCGAGTTTTCTTTTAACGATTAAAAGGGCTAAAAACTCCTAATCCCTGCTTTTTTTGGGGGTCCATACTGTATATATAATATATATGTGGTTTGATATGGTGTTCGTTAGTTTGGTTGTGTCCACTGCAGCTTCAAAAGTCAAAACGCTGACCCAATGATGGCCAGTGAAAAATGAAAAATTTAGCATGACAAACTGCTGATTTTAATATATTTGTAAGGCCGAAAAAATAGCAGCCTTACACTCTAAATTACGAATATTTAAAAATTAACAATAACAATAGTTTAGTATGTATAACCTGAAGAAAGCATAATATTTCTCCAATCTGCTGGAATACCTCCATCTCTTTCTGTAATATACTGAGCCACATGTCTCCTGAAAATGAAATTTTGCTGAATCAGTCCCCCGCCCCTAGAATTAATAATCCCGCCACTTTTTTAAATGTTTCGCAATTGATTGATTGCCTCCAATATTTATTTGTTTCTGCACATTAATTGGCTTCAATTGATTCTGCCCCTTATTGTAATGCCCGATTCACAGAGGTGCCCTTGAAACCTTTATCTGATAAATTATGTGGAAGGATATGGCCATTTTCTTTGTTTAAAAAGCGTTTTATTCTGATAATTCCTATATGTTTTCCAGTAGTCAAAATGTCCAAATCATGTTTTAAAATTTATATCATATTCACACTTGATTAGACCAAGCTTTTAAGAGTCCCATTTATTGGGTATTGTCATATATGCATCGAGGCTTACAGTCCCTTTAATTGGTTCAGTTTAACTATTTGATTGGTTTTATCCATGGATAAAGATAGATTACGCATAAAACGACATTTTTCATCTTGAAAGATATAAATGTACAGAGATGCTTTAAAGATATTCCTATTATATAGATTAACTAGGTCGGTTGTAAACATTGGCTGTTCTTATATCATTGAGTACTTGTGGTGTACATTAGTTATGTAAAAAGAAATTTAAGTTAGTTTAGTCCTTCTCATGTCCTTCTTCAGTTCTCGGTAATATGATATATTGCTCAGTGAAATAAAATTCACTCCTGAGTGGTTTAATAATTATGAAATTCATTAAAACACCAAACCACCCCGCTTATCATTGAAGTACACTTTGACCCCTAGAAGTATGAGTTCGCGGACTGTACAATTCTTGGTGATTTTGCGTACATAAGCTATCTATGTTTATTTATTTATCTATGGTTTTATCCCTTTACCTTTCGTTCTGTAAGCTGTAGAATATGAGTACCCTGAGGGTAACAAAGGCTAAAATAATTCGAATTTCATTTTTCAAAATCAGATTTTTTAAATCGAATATTTTAAATTTCACGGGCAACGCCGGGCACTTCAGCTAGTTACCTAATAATTTCTATTCCTGGACTATCACTGTATGCTCCGACACTTCCTCCTCTGCAACCAGCTAGGATCTCCCGGGCTCTGAGAAAATATATGATTAAAAGTTTTTTTGATTTGAATTAAATAATTAGAATATAAACGCCAATTCTATCTTTGAGAAAGAATTGCATGCAGGAAACAAGAGAACGAAATGAATAAAAAAAATAAAAAAAATGCATTAAAAAAATCAGAACGTAAATCACCCACCATAACACAAGCTCAAATATGACATGTCGAGGTTCCTAATTTAAAATTAAAATTAAAAATCTCTCTTCTTGTTTAAAATAAGATATAAGATAAGATTTTTCCCCATAATATTTTTACGCATATAATATTTTTAACTAATTGATCCAACAGTATTTAAAGATTGAAATAGATGAAAGGTATACACCATCAGGGTGCCAAGATAAGATACGCAAAGTTTGAGGCAAATGTTGATGCTGTGAGAGTTTAATTTAATTTACATTCTAAAACTTAAAAAATAACTGTTTTCGTTACATCGTTAAATACCACAGAGTAGATATTTATAGAGGTTCAGTGTACTAAGTACAGTAGGCTGGGCAAAATTGTACAATTTTAGAAAAAATTGGGGTTGTTTGTGTACGTTTTTTTTAAAAAAAGTTATTTTTCCAGTGCTTTCTTTGTTTACTTTCTTATTTCTTATTTAAATTCTAGGGGGAAATGTCTATCTATCTCTCAGATCATTTTGTATTGATGTGTACGCTGGCAAAATGCCTACTAAGTATATAATCTAAATAAATGCCAAAATCGAAGTTTAAAACAGATCCTGTAGTATATGTACTGTTTAAACCCCACTTCCTCTTGGAATAGAGGTTTCCTGAGTTGAGTTGGCTGAGTGTCTATCTTTATCTATATTTCAAACTCGTAGCTCATAATTTAATTTAAATACAATTTAAATTCCCAACGTTAACCTAAAAACCATGATCTGATTACTACTGTAGAAGATAATATCCCAGTCTATAAATCTATGGACTCTTTAAACAAAGATAGCAAAATAACCATTTTCTGAAAAAGAAAAACCTTAGTTTTGCATCCTCTGGAAAAAACTCTGATTCTAGAAGAGAAGGACAGGTTACAATTGCCATCACCTGAAATACAGAAAAAGTATTAACGTAATATCAAGTGACAATCCATGCAAAGATGGCAATGCCCGATTTACCCGTGAAAACTTTGTCTGATCAAGTATGAATTAGATATCTATGTTTTTGTTTCTTTGGTAGCTCGTGTACACCAGTATATATGCCTGAAATTATCCGCATAGTTTTGCACTATGCAGATATTGAAGGTTTTATAAAGGCCTGCTCGACTCTACTCTAGACACTTGATATTGGTCCTTTCTGTAATAAACACTGCTTCGTCCAACAAGGTATAAGAGTAGAGATTAAGAGTAGAACAGTTTTAAAGGGCCTTATTAACTAGTCAAATTAAATAGAATAACTTTTGCATCTTCAAACTGTTTATTTTCATTTGTGATACAGTGACTTGTTTTTGTTTTTTAGAATCAATGGCTGGAGGAACTCACTTTTCGTGTCAGAAAAACAACAATATCTTCCACATTTTTGATAAATAAAGGTTTCAAGGTTACCCTCTGTGATTGTAAGGTCTCACGCTCTCAAGCAAAAATCGCATAAGAATTTTGCCAATTACTTCTCAAAAACCAAAGCTAACAACAAGTGCTTTCTAGTACTAAAATGTTCATGTAAAGGGCTAAAGAAAAGTATAAGTGAGTTAGAGCGGTAAAATCTAAGCCCAAGGCGTTCCGACACTTCAAAGTCGACCCTGTCCTAAAAATTGAAGAGACTGTTTATAAGCAGGCGGAATCTATTTGTACCGTTATAAATTGGTCTTTACTAGCTAGTCTAAATATACCTGTCTAATCTTGTCTAAACCTACCTGTCTAATCTTGTCTAAAACCTGTCTAATCTTGTCTAAATCTACCTGTCTAATCTTGTCTAAACCTACCTGTCTAATCTTGTCTAAACCTACCTGTCTAATCCTGTCTAAACCTACCATTCTAATCTTGTCTAAACCTACCTGTCTAATCTTGTCTAAACCTATCTGTAAATCTTGTCTAAACCTACCTGTCTAATGAATGTGATAGGTTTATTGCCCATTGCATGAGCATCTCCTATATTTGCCTTTATCACCGTTTTAAAAGACTTTTCAACTCCCTTAAAAAATTGCAAAAAGTACTTGAATTTTCGCCACAAACTTAGATTTTCTAATCTCTATATCTTTGCAACCTGATTTCGTCGGAAGAAAAACTTTAATATATAAAGGGTTTATGCCACCAGATTGTAAAGCTATCAGGAACAGAAAGTTTGAGTTTGTGACAAAAACTCAATTTCTTTAATGCATATTATATTTTTATATATTTATTAAATGTTGTCTTTCTTGCACTGTGCACATTTATTAAAATTTTTTTTTCTAGAACATAAAATAATTTAATTTATTAATTATTCACAACGCTGGCAGGACCTTTACAAAAGAAGTATTCAGTAATTTTGTTTGTTTGGATATGAAGGTCCCACGAAACATGACACTTGGGGAATAGTTTTAAATGTCTTCTTCCATAATTTGTTAAGAGAATAAAATAAATATTATATGATACAATTTTTTGCGCTTCTTTGAGTATCAAGATTGTTTCGCAAATTGCGCAATATTGGACAAATTCCGGTGCACAAACAAAAGCGCTATGCAAATTTTACGCCAAATTTAACCACATTCACATGCATAAAGTTTGTGAAACATGCAAACAGAATGCAATTATCATTTACCTTTATGCAAAAAACAAAATTTACAACAACTGCAGAGGACAGACATTGAAATTAACTTTCGGCAACATTTTAGCACGTATTTTTCGCGCGCACATTTGCACATCAGAATATTATGTCCACCTGTTTTTTTCAATACATACTTGTTTTAATTCCTGTTCTATTTCATTAGCTCTGATTAGCAATGGTCCACGGACAGCATATGTCATAACCTGTAATCAAGCAATAAGGGCTTCAAGGCGAAATTATTTTTAATGAATTTATCTATTATATCCTTGAATTTAATTTTTAAAAGGGGAACATAACCTATTAATACTATTAAATATTTGCCAGTTAATTAAACTTTTATTCTACACAATCTGGACACTGATTTTTGTTGTCATTTTTTGTCATGTAATACTATGAAGAAAGACGTTTAATAATACATGTCTATGTCTGATAAAGACACGTTATGAGGAAAAATTTTTTGTTTCAAGAGGCTTCCAAGGCAAGTCGCAAAGAATCAAAGTATACATAGCATTCTAATTGTCAATTTGGAAGATTTTAAATTTTTATGTTCAGTTTTAGAGAAAATAATTTTTGACTAACAGTACCTATTACCAAGGGATGTTTGTTGGAATAAAGAATCTGATAACTTCACTCAAACTCAACATTTATTAATCCCAAATATCTTTGAACAACACCTATTACCAAGGGATGTTTGTTGGAATAAAGAATCTGATAATTTGCCTCAAACTCGACATTTATTAATCCCAAATATCCTTGAACAACACCTATTACCAAGTGATGTTTGTTGGAATAAAGAATCTGATAACTTCACTCAAACTCAACATTTATTAATCCCAAATATCTTTGAACACAATGTTTGAAATCGTTTTTATTTTAAACTTTGAACATTTTATCGGAATTCGTATTTGAAAAATTAAAGGTCCATAAGATGTAGTAATTAGAGTATAGATTAGGAAGAAAAGTAATTATTTCCTTCAAGGATGTAAAGTAAGGTTTTATATACTCTAATGCGTATGCGCATATATTAAAAACCAAGGATGTAAAGTAAGGTTTTATATACTATAATGCGTATGCGCATATATTAAAAATGTTGTATTAATAGCACTTTACACGAACAATTCTACAGCTGACAAGCAGAGAAAATACTCCCTCCCCCTCTTTACTTTTAACGCTGTTACTTCATCTTTCGGCAATAATATGTTACGTCATATGAGGATTTTGAGTGTCCATCGCTATAAAGACGACATTTCTTGTACATGAGCGCATCGCAGAGTATCTAACACTATACTATACAAACTTGCTTTAAACCAACCCTAATATATTTATATATTTTACCTTTATTCCTTCATTCACCATGTCTACTGTTAGCACTTTACTAAAATATAATAAAACAAGAATTCAGGGTGCTTCATGTTTCTCAAATTTATTTCAGAACTTTATTCGGTTCAGCGCTTTTTAAATTTCAAAGTTTAAACATGTAATTTTTAATATTTTATATGAATACTGTAAAAAATAATATAAGTGACTGTAGACATAATTTTAATTTACCCCTATTTTTTAGAGTGGCATGTCCGATTTCCAACGGTACCTTTATCTGTTTTAAAATCAATCATTATTTTTCTAGATTATAATTGATTTTTTCAATCGTAGATTTTTTATAAGAATGACTTGTGGATTTATGTTAATATTTTTAAAGATAAAAAACGACAATTTTTCTTCTTCATTGTTAAAGGTACTCTTGTGAATCACGTCTTCAAATACTTGAAAATCAATGTTTTCACGAGAAATTACAAGAAAACAGAATTTAACTTATTTTGATTAGAATTTTGATTTTATATAATTTTAATAAAATGAAACTTTAAAAAAAAGTTTCTTACCTTTCCACCGGTTTCATAGTCAGGATCTTGAAAGGGAAAATATTTTAATATATTTTTTAAAAGAAATTATTTAAAGAGACTGTTCACGAAAAATGAATGGGGTATAGCTGCCAATATCACATTGAATTCGATATCGAACGCTACTCATTTTATTTTTATCTGTTGCGTCTATAATGAATAAAAGTTAAAAACGTCTCACCGAAGAACATTGGTAAAATTATAGAATCTATCTAAATTCAATTTGATATCAACCTATACCCCATTTATTTTTAGCAAAAACTCCCTTTAATTTGCAATATCTACATACGTCCTCATCACTTCTCCCCTCTGAATCACTTCCACTTTCTTAAAAATAATAAAATTGGTTAGTTTGTAATATTATTAATTGTAGCTACATAGTCTTTATAATAATTGTTATTGTAATTCTTTTTTTTAGTTTTAGTTTATTCTAAGATTTTGATTTGAGGATTCCAAAATAAATTTCTTAATACTATTATTTTATTTTTTACCTTCAACTCCATTAAAATCTGGACTATCAAGATCCCCTGTAAACAGATTTCAAATTTCAAATTCCCTGTATTCAGTATCCCAGTATCCCTGTATCCAGTATCCCCGTATTCCTGTATCCAGTATCCCAGTATCCTTGTATCCCTGTATCCCTGAATACAGTATCCCAATATCCCTGTATCCCTGAATACAGTATCCCAATATCCCTGTATCCAGTATCCCAGTATCCCTGTATCAGTATCCCAGTATCCCTGTATCCAGTATCCCAGTCCCCCTGTATCCAGTATACCTGTATCCAGTATCCCTGTATCCAGTATCCCTGTATCCATTATCCCAGTATCCCTGTATCCAGTATCCCAGTATCCCTGTATCCCTGTATCCCTGAATCCAGTAATCCAGTATCCCTGTATCCATTATCCCAGTATCCCAGTATCCAGTATACCAGTATCCCTGTATCCAGTATCCCTGTATCCAGTATCCCTGTATCCAGTATCACCTGTATCCTGTATCCCAGTATCCCTGTATCCAGTATCCCTGTATCCTGTATCCCAGTATCCCTGTATCCAGGATCCTTGTATCACCTGTATCTAACCCAGGAAGATCTGTACAGCTTGAAGATTCACAAAGTTTCAAATGTTTCATGGACTGAAAATTACTCGGATCCATTTTTCTCTAGAAATAATTAACTGATTAGGCAGCAAATAGTTTAAAGATAAATTGATTAAGCTGATTAGGCAGCAAATAGTTTATAAATAAATTGATTAAGCTGAATTACGCTTGATTTACTGCTAAAAGTGATATAAAGGATATAGACTATCTCACATAGATCCAGACTGCTATAAAAGTTACATCAATTTTCAAGAATGGATCGACTTTGAAGTTTGCCTGTGATTTAACCTAACTTGCTTACTTATACTTTTTTTAGTCCTAGACATAAACAGTATGAACTATTAAGCACTTATTTTTTTCTTAAGTTTTAAAAGTAATTGACAAATTCTTCTCGATTGTTGCGTGAAAACAACCTTTAAATCACCGTGATTTCTTAATATATTTTTCAAGCTAAGTAACAACAATTTTTTTAAGCAGTCTGAGCTGAAAACTCCTTATATCCTTAATCCTAATCGGTTAATTAATCTGGAGATTAATAACAAGAGGAGAACAAGTATTATCTAATCTAGAGATTAAGAAAAAGACAGGATCAAGCATTGATCTCGATATCCACCATTCTAAAGTTTTCAGCTCTTAACTCTGAACTCTACCAAGAAGGGAATAGTAACGTATTTTAGCTAAGTTTGGATGCACGTACATCTCATATTTGAAACTTCTTGAGCCAGTCGTTAACTTCTGGAAATAAAAGAGACTTAAAGGGAGTGTTTGCGAAAAATAAAAAGGGGTATAGATAATCTTACGACGAAAAATAATCGCTTTTGATCGCTACTAATCATATATCTATCTGTTGCGTCTTTAAGGAGAAAATTGTGAAAAACTACTTATACTGAAGAAAGTAGCGTCCATACAAATTCAGAAAGTTGCAATATACGACTTGTATGGTAAAATATTTACTTTAATTCCAAACAAATCATTCAAATATCACATCCTAAATAAAGTCATCGATTATTTTTTGAAGCATTCGAATATAGTTAATATGGGAATGACATTAAATAAGTTGGTTATTAAAACTGTTCCTATAATTTATTTTGGATTTCAGTTATTGAACAACATCATAAATTGAAGAATGTCAAATCTATATAATAAAACAAGACTTTCGTATATATGTTCCCTACAGCCACCCATACGGCTGGACCTAATGGGCTGAAATTTTTGTGGACACTGGGTAGCATTGGAGTGACATAGAAATCGAATATTTTTTTTTCAAATTTTTCAATTTTTTTTATTTTTTAAATCCAATTTTATTTTTTTTTCCCACGGGCAATGCAGGACCCTTAAGCTTGTTCATAATAAAACAAACAGTGAAGGATCGGGAAGAGTTTTTTTTTTTTTTTAAAGTATAATTTCCAAAATTTCCTTAAATAATTCCGTATTTTTGAAAATCTTTAAGTTTAGCATTAACACCGGTGTCAAAAAGTGCATAATAGATAATCTGTCCTAAAATATTTTATCACAGCTTTTTGTGAGAAAGACAGATTTTTTTTAGTTTAAATGCAAATATTTTTTTCTTGAATTTTCCAGCTTTTACCGGACCATCAGCTGATGTTGAAAACACTAGAAATAAAAAGGAAAGGAGAATTCATGGTGAAAAGCACTGTTTCAGCGTTCAACTGAAACATTATAAAGATTCTGCCCAGATTTTCATTGTGAGGGGGGGGGGAGTTATAATAAACTGCAAAAACAATTCCTTTATAAGTTGGGTATATGTTTTAAACAAAAGAAAATAACAAAAATACCATGTGGCAGCCATCATAGTAAAATTGATTTCAAAATTAAATACTTGAGTTAAAGATTTTTTAACGAAATAAACTGGAAAAAGTCTTTAATATCTTATTCAGTATATGGAAGAAGTCATTCAAAAATATTCACCAACTGTCTAGTTACGTGGGACACCGTATATATTTTGAGATACCAAAGCTAACAAAAAGGGGGGTTACAACTTTCAAATCTATGATTATATTGTATTTTTGTTAAAAAAATTATTTCTGATAAGAAATTAAGAAAGGGGCCAAAGACACTGGACACCCCACTCCACAGGCCAAAAGGCAGGCGCAGTGTGTTCAGTTGATAAACTGCTTTTAATTTAAAAAAAAAGATTTTACATAATTCTACGCAATGTGGACACCGAGACAAATTGTTTAGGGTAATCTAAAAAATAAGAAAAGATGGGAAAATCACAATATTACCTGTCATTGCCAAATTTACAAATTTCCAAATTTACACCAAAAAATCCAAGTTTGCAATTTTCTTGTTAAATAGTGCAAATGTTCGGTATGTTATCAAGCATATTTTTTATTGCTTATATTATTTTAAACATTAGCCATTTGAGAGGAAAGATGTATTTTATTTTTGGGGAAAAGTAAGTTAAGCAGTTTACATTAAAAGGAATCATTATTTTAATTTAAACTTAAATATATCTTTATATCAATTAATTAATTAACCTACTGAGGATTGCCACAAGGCATGAAAGATCATGTATAGTGAGATTCTGAAATATATTGAAATATGAGATTCTGAAATATATTGAAATATCATGTATAGTGAGATTCTGAAATATATTGAAATATCATGTATAGTGAGATTCTGAAATATATTGAAATATTATGTATAGTGAGATTCTGAAATATATTGAAATATTATGTATAGTGAGATTCTGAAATATATTGAAATATCATGTACAGTGAGATTCTGAAATATATTGAAATATCATGTATAGTGAGATTCTGAAATATATTGAAATATTGAATTTGAAGCTGATTCTTTAAATATCTTTATAGTGCAAATTTTTTGCAAGACGTGGCTGGAATTTTGAAAATCGCAATTTCAATGCACTAAATTGTGGCTCCCACACAATGATTGTGGCTCCCACACAACAGGAATTCTTAAAATTGTTTTCTTGAAGACGACATTTGTACGTATCCATTTTAAACTGATCTTTCGATAGGCTTGTTTTTCCTCATATTTTAGATCCATTTCCGCTTTTTTCAAAAACTTTAAAAATCTTTATTTGTTGTTCGATTTCCTTAAATTTTTAGGTCTGTTTCTCCTATTTTGGATCCGTTTCAGCCTTTTTTTCAAGAACCCTAAAAATCTCAATTTTTAGGTCCGTTCCTCATATTTTGATCCGTTTCCGCTTTTTCAGAAACTTAAAAAATATCAATTTGTTTTTGCTTGTAAATGTTCCTTCCAAAGAAAAACTATTTTCTATATTCTTTTGTATAATAAGCTTTTTAATCCATCATTTATTTTTATTTTTTACTTATGTTTATTAAGCAGGTCAGTAAATATACTTTTCTTTTATGGTCTTCCATGCAATTAGTAAAGACTTCTAGTCCATTTTTTCACTCTGTTTCTCAATCGAAAACATATAGTACAATGGTAGCCGATTATATCAATACAATAAAGACGACTTTCTTATTAAATTAAGCTGTTAAACAGCATCGATACACAAACACATAGAAGTCAAGAGAATTTATCAATTAAAAAGCTTCTCTTTGATTGCTTGTAAGGTCATAGTTCTAAAAAAGCTTGTTAACAATCAAAACTTAAATAAAAAAGTTGTCTTTATTGTATTGATATAATCGCCTACCACCGTATTTTTGAATATTTTGGTTTGTTATGAAAATGTACGAATTGCAAAGAATACCTAGAATTTGTAAAATAGAAATAAAATAATTTTTTAATTACGGGCAACGCCGGTAACTTCAGCTTTAATAGTTTATTTTTTTCAATGCTTTGTGGATCATTTATTTTGCCGTGACAGCTACAGAAAATAAATATATGTTTTTTAATTTGAATTAAAAAACTTCTGAAATAATAAGGTTGTTAGTATTCCCAAAAATTTGGAAGACACTTTTAGGGTACAGTGGTCAGCATTTATATTCATACTAATGATGACAACTTTCCATTTCTTTTTCAGAATTAACTTATTCAAGTTATAAATTAAAACAGGCCTGTAACTAGGATTTTGAATAGGGGGGGGGGGGGCACATTTGTAATAAGAACGCGCTGCAGGGGAATTTTTTTGACACAACTGGGATTTGTCGACGCAAACAGGGTGTCCCATATCATATCTTTTTAACAAGAAAACAAGATAAGATCAATTAATAATTGAACTTTGTGGATTAATTGTTTCTTTAAACCATTGTGGATTCTACTATGAAGAGAGAGATATATTGGATTTTGGGACGGTTTTGCGCGGGATGGAAGCAATTCTGCATATTAAGAGGCTCCGGAGGTCTTTTCATGGGGCTCATGGCAGCTCTGCAACCCCTCCCCCGCAAAGCCCTATGTAGGATTGGAGAACAGACAAATAAAACAAACAGTTGGAGAACTTGTTGGTCTAGTTCAGTTCCTGCGTTTACAAAATATTTCCTTTCTTTAACACTAAAAACAATACTATTTTCAGGTGATGAGGTGAAAATACGTAAACTAATACATTTTTTCTTTACAGACAAGAGGGAAATAAACTATTGTTTTCTAAAATTTGTATAAAATATGAGGAAACAAATCAATTATAAAGTTTTTGAAGAAAGCGGAAATGGATCAAAGATATGAGGAAACGGATCTAAACTATTGGGAATCCCCTCAAAAACATTGGGAAATCCCTCGAGAATATTTCATTGCTATAAAGCGGAAATGGATCTAAAATTTTGGTAAATCTATCTAAAAAAGGAGAAAACTCCTCAAAATCTGACTGTTGGGGGATTTCCAAAAAATTCAAAGAAATCGTGGAAATGCATCAAAAAATAAGTAATTTGATCGGTTTCCGCTAATTTTAGATCAGTTTCGATGTTGAGGCGTTTCCATGTCACCTTTTGGTAACAGTTTTAAATGTTACTTTGGAGTTAGAATTATTTCATTTGACAGTTTTCAAATAGCGCAAGTTTTTTTGTGGAGTGTTAAGTTAGATTTTATATCCGATCTGTTTAGCCATCTTTTAACCATCAAAAGTTTCATTGTCATACAAACAGGCGTTCACGGGTTCGATTCCCGTACTCCAC